AGGTGGCCCAGTAGAATGAGTGTATCTTAAAAGGAGATTTTTAGCTTGGCTTACACAATACAGGATGGGTAGTCCAACCATGGCTGCCTCACCCTTGAGAGTCTGAAGGATCCCTAGAGAGCTGCTGGCCTTCAACATGTGTCGCACACCAGAAAAATCTTGCTTCTGATCACAGGGAAGAGATCCAGCAGCAGTAGAAATTCCCATTTATCTAGACTGTCACTGGAAAGTGCTGCCAACAGTTAACTTTATCAAGACAGTTCCTCACAGGTATCCCCAGAAGCTTGCCTTGTAGTTAATTCCAGATCCAGCTAAGCTGGCAAGATTAACACCACAAAGGGCATCATTTAAGGCAATAGAAGCTAAGAGGTGAGGCCTTTGGAGAAAACGGGTCAGTAAGGATTTGTCCTGGGCCAGCATACCTTGTCCTTAGTCCCTCCTTCGACAGAGATACTTCCTGTCTTGTTCCCCATGGTCCTGGATAGGCATTGCATTTTAAATCAAGGCATACTGCTTTCCCTGTTTACTATTTTGTCATAGTCTCATCTCCATTAAATAGCAATGGCAGTCACAGATATAGTTTTTTCTCTAGGCAGCTGCTCCTGATCTGTTAAGGCTGGAGAGGAGAGGGAGACTGCACTATTAGTACTTGGTTATATGGCTGTACACTCAGTACAGAATATTAAGGCTGATATCCTTGGGAGGCCCGGCAGGAGCTAAGAACCACTTTCTCTTGCAGGCATAGTGGAATGTCATAGAAGAGCCCGTCTGTCTCACAATTCCTGTGGTGAGACAGTAACTACCCTCTTCTGGGTGACTCATGGTTAACCCTTCCTTGACTCTGTGCCCCTAGTGACACAAGCCCACCCTAAAGCCACCCTGCTGCGTCAGTGTCCCCACTGAGTAGACACAGAGCAGCCTCACTGTGGCACTTCCTTCCCGTGAGCAATAGAGAACACCTGATTCCATAGGTGCTTCTTTTACTCCGGCATCTTTGGGCAGGAATCACCAAACTGTAGTTGCCAAGGTCTCTAATTCTCAGGGACAATGTCCTGATTTCTCTAAGACTCTCTTAAATTCTTCACCTCCAGTGTTTAATGGATTCTAAGTGTCTTCTTAGTAATCTACGTGTTCTTAAACCCTCGGATTCTCCCTCCCTCAGCCCCTGCTGTGTGGGCTGTGAGAGCCTGTGGGCTGAGCGTTTGCAGTGTGAGAGGCTAGTGAGATGGCTTCTGACTTGGGACCCCTTCCCAGCACCTACCTGCTGCAGTATATGGGATGCACCGTGTCCCCAGTGCTGGCTGAATAGAGCTGATGAGTGAGTGATCCCTGGCCTGACATTGGAGTTTCAATCTATTGGTAATTCTCTGGCTGTCATTCCTTGGGGAAAGTTTGAATCAGGATATCACAATACTGCAGGTGCTTTTTGGGAGATGATAGTCACATCTTCATACACACTTTATAACTTGAAAATACAGTAAATTGAAAATGTGTCTGATGCATTTAATCTTTCAGACATTATTGTTTAGCATAGCCTGCCTTAAAGTGCCCAGAGCACTGATATAGCCCCACAAATGGAAACAATCATCTAGTATGAAGCCTATTTTAAAAGAAGAATACCTCATGCAATTTATTAAACACTTGTGTTCCCCAAATGCTGTTAATATAATATATTGTTGGGCATCAGCCACTGACTCTCATGATGGCATGCGGTCTGGAATTAATTACCCAGCACCACAAGACACCCATGAATGACAAACCCATAACTCAGAAACAGAATTCAAAATCCAAAGCACTGCTTCTATGAAATCCATGTTACATTTTCTTCTTTAAGTCAAAAATATTTCAGTCACACTATTTTAAATTAGGCTCACATGAAATAAGACATGAATAACTGAGTACTTGTATGTTAGTTACTTCTCTGTTGCCATAATAAAACGCCATGACCAGGACAACTTACAGAAGAAAGAGTTTATTGGGGCTTACAGTCCCAGAGGGCTAATAAGAGTTCGTCACAGCAGGGAGGTGTGGCAGCAAGTGGCAGGCATGGCTCTGGAGCGGGGTGTAAGAACCCCAATCTTGAACTGTAAACATGATGCTGAGATGAATCTTTAAACTCTCAATGCCCACATCCACCTCCAGTGACATAATTCCGCCAACGAGGCCACCACTCCTAAACCTCCTCTCGTTACACCACCAGCTGGGGACTGAGTGTTCAAATGCATGATACTATAGGGGTGATTTTGTTCAAGCCACCAGATTGTATAATACAATAAGGATTTGTTACTATATGTGTTTATTGTGGTGTGTATCTATGTGGACTTGTACCACAGAGCACGTGTGGAGGTCAGAGGACAACTCTGACCTCTCCTACTCTGTGAGCCCCTAGGATTGACTCAGGCCATCAGATTTAACAAGAAGTATCTTTATTCACTGAGCCATCTCACCTGCACATAATAATGATTTTTAAAGACTAGTTTCCAATAATAAGGCCAAGTGTGGTAATATATGCTTATAACCCCAGCACTCAGGAGCCCGAGGAGGGAGAATTATGGTGAGTTAGAAGTTGCCTAGGCTACACAGCAAGTACCATACCTGCATGGGTGACAGTGCCCTGAACTTCCCATAGATATAGACACACAGTCTTGGAGCCAGAACGTTGGGTGTTAATTTGCCCTGGCCAGCAGGGCACGATGAAGGTTGAGCCCAGAGAAGCCTGAAATGAGGGGACAGGAGACACAAGAAATGGACAACACACCCACAGAGAAAACTAAGAATGCTAACTTTTATATTCTAACTAGATAAAAGTTTGAAGATTTTAATTATTCAGCATTGATAAAAATTAGTTCTGTGAACTTGCATTTGCTTCTTAAGAGCTTAGTTAGAATGTTTTTATTGTAGATAAGATGAATTATAGTTATTTAAACACTGGATATTTTTATTGAGTATACTAGCAGCCAGTTATTCTTTTTGTAGAGCTGAGAAATAGCTTCTCTTGTACTTTCTGCACTGTGAAGAGGTTTAATAAGGCAGATGTTAGATTTAAAAGAACTTAAGATCCAGCCCAGGAAGACTGACAAGCCCCTGTATTCTGTTCACATTTTACACTTCCTTGCATTCACAGGGCCACACACAGGGCCCAGTACTCTGATGTCAACAATTCTTGACGAACTGAGGGGAAACAGGATGTATGGAAGATTCAAAGCCTTAGAGATTAAGGCCAGTAAGGCAGCAGTTAAAGAACGTTGTAGGAATTGTGTCTTTCTAGCATTAGGGAAGAATTCTGTCTTGTGTCTTATACTTACATTGCACTTTGGAGGTGAGAATGGTCATCAGATGAAGACTGGTATGTCGAATATGGCTGCCATTATTTTCTTTTAGAAAGGAAACTTTATTTTATTAATTGATTTAAAAAATTTGTGTGCCTTATATGTTGTTAGAGGAGGGGGAGGCAGAGTCATGCCAATATGGAGGTCATATGGAGGTCAGGGTACAACTTGCAGGACTCGGTTCATTCCTTCCACCATATTTGGGTTGGCAAGCTTGGGAGCAAGCACCTGTCCCCAGACCTAGACATTGCATGTACCCCCTTTATCCTATTCTGAGGCTCCCAAGTCTCCCTTCAGGCAGAGGGAGAGGAAACTTCCCATCCTTTGTGTTTCTTTTATTTTACTGTCAGAACACGAATCAGCTTTATTTGTTGTTTTGCTTGGGAAGGAGATGTGAAGGGCATCTTTAAGTGTGACTTGCACAGTCTAACCGTAGGCTTTTCACCCTCCTGTTCTTCCTCAGACTCCAGGCCTTCAATCTGCTTCCTAGTGTGGCAAGACTGTGGGCAATGACTGTCCCTCTGGGGATAGCTTTCTGCCTTCAAGTGTCATGCTCTATAAAAAGACCTTTGAGCACTTACACTGTTTCTGAACAGTGTCTAAGCATAGCACTTTTGTTAAAGAAGATTACTAGACTTGCTGTCACAGAACTGAATCTGCTGAGTTTTTAAATGGAAAACTGAATTTTTTTTATTTGAGTATATAACCTCATGGAAATAATTGTCACTTCAGAATTTCATGTGAGAAAGAGTCTTTAGTAAAGAAACTAAGAATCACAAGACTAGGAAAAGTTAAAATAGGTTTCTCTAAGCTGTTCCAGTCTTTTACATGGCTGTGGACTTCTAAATGAAGAGAGGTGCACACACATGAGTGGCTTACAACGTTATTAATTGTCGGCCTGCCATCCTTTCTCCTTGCTTCATTTAGTTACATCTCCCAGCATACCTGTTAGAATCATAGCTGCTAGCTGTATGCCCTTTTATTTTGTCTCAGGCAATCTGGTATGTTCTTAACTTCTTTGGAGTATAGGTGTGAAAATTGGGTTCTGGGGAGATCAAATAGTTCAGTCTGGTGGCTAATTAAAAGAAATGCATGTTAGGAATTATTTGCCTTCTAATGAGAAGAGGAGTTTTCAGTCCCCTCCCAGAGATGCTAAGACATTTTCAAAAATACCCAGTTTTTGTATGTGTGTGTGAATATGTATGTAGTTGCATTTGCATATGGTTTAGATGAAACTGGAAGATGCTTTGTTCCCTCCATCCCATATTTTGTGCCTCCTGAAACCTTACCTTGGTCCTTGAACTTGAAAATGACATTAATGTGAGTTCTTCTTTTGCAGCGGATCAAATTAGTGGAAATTGTAAAAACTGTGCGATTTTCTGGCTCCCTAGACTGGCTGATCAGCAGACTGGAAAGACTGTGGAAGCATCCTCTGGTATGTTCCTAGTTTTCTCCTTGATGTAGATGATATTTCTTCCTGTTTACTTCCATTTCTTGTTCTTTTAGACATAGCAAGTTTCCACGTTCAGCATCATGGGTTTTCTTTTTAATTGTTTGAATATTTTTGTTCATCAAGTCATTGCCATTCCTGAATAGTGTTGATGCCACAACAGAGCTCCTGAAAGGGGAGAAGAGTCCACTCAAAAGCCTGGGGACATAGACTTAGGCCACCCTAAACTCCATGTCCCAATGTAGCAGCAGTTTCACAAAGTTTGTATAGTAACAGAATAAACAAGTCATGAATCAGAGCACTTTCCGAATGCTTCAGTAGAAACACTGAGTAGAACAATTAACAACAGAGCAGGAAAGCTCGGCTGTAGGCTAGGAGCTATCTGATGGTGCTCAATCTTTTGTTTGGTGGAAGCAGTGGATTTGTTAGGATAATACATTATGAGAGGTTTTATCTGTTAGTTACAAGGCTGTTAAGTGAGACTCAGAGGTAGGTGAGAATGGCTGTTAAGGATGCTGAAGATAGCACAAGGTAAATCATAATTAAGCTCCAGGCCTGTACCATTCCATTCCACCACAATCACTGATGTCCCCATCAATTACTCAGCCTTGCAGAAGGGTCAATGGGAGGTGTCGTTTTTTTCCAGGGAATATGGGTTCGCAGTAGAGATCTAGCAAAACCTTGTCATTTACATTAATAAAATGTCTAATGATACAGTCCTGAAATCCACTAAAGAACTAGGATTCTTCTTCCTCTTCAAACTGATCAATCCTGATATACTCAAACACACAAAATTTTTAGATGTTAGATTTCTTACTTTTCCCTTTGTTATCAAAATAATTTAAAGACACAAGAATATTTGGGTGAAATTGGGAAGTCAGGTTCCCTAATATAACACCATAGTGAATTTGAAGAGGTTTCATAAATCCTTGAAGACTGTCCACAAAACAGGATAATCGTTCCAGGCAGGAACTCTGAACCTCTCTTGCCTTTGACCAGTATCTCCCCGTCCGTCCTCCCTGCCCCCAGACTCTGACAACTGCTGTCTTCTTTGTTCAGTTGTTTTAGTTTCCATTATATGGGGAATCATCTGGGATGTAAGAGTTTAAATCCCACTGTCTGTGGGGGCAGTGCAAATTTTAACCATGACAATGTACATCTGTGCCTACTAGGCCAGAGTTCATTGAAAAGATGGCAGGTTGGCATGAGCAAGTACAAGGGGTCAAGGTGAAGTGTTTCCCATGCCTGGGCTTTTCTCTAGGTGATCTTGGCTCTTGTGGTATTTGTGGGGACGAGTCATCCAGAGAAAGGCAGCCCATTCATTAGCCAGGGGCTTGGTGGGCTTCTGTTGGGTATCATCCTTTGTGTGCTCTGCACCCCACAGTTTTACAGTGTTGAGCATGTTCTTATGGGAAGCCTGGCAACTCCCCTCAGTGCAGAATCAGTGCAGGGATACTTAGGGGGCTTCAGATGCCAGAGCTTTGAATCACAGTGTTCTGGATACAGGGTGGTTTAAACCATAGTTGTTGATTTCTTGGAATTTTGAAGTTCTTTGTATTCTAAAGACATTACTTCCACTACTTGGGCAAGAGTGTCTAAGCCTCTGGTGTCCTATGAAGCCTTCCTCCTTGATGCACAGTTAAATGTAATGTGTTGAGTTTAAAAGAGACTAGCTTCTAGGGTTGATTTTTAAGATCTACTATTGCTGGTGGAGAAATCACAGTTTCTTGAGTGACACCAACTCAGATAGCTTATATGACACAGAGAAAGAGGCTATTTCATTGGAGACAGTGGTTCTAGCTTTAAAAACATCTGGTGGTGGGTGCATGTGTATGCATGGTGTGTGTGTGTGCGAATGCATGTGTGTGTACACATGCACAGACACATAAGAGTGTGCACGTGAAGGTCAGTGGATGGCTTTGGGCATTAGTCTTCACCTTATTTCTTTATTGGAAGGCTTCCTGGCCCAAGAAATTCCAGGGATCTCTTGTTTCTGCTTCCATTCCCACAATAGGAGCCCTGGGATTACAGATTCATATTACTGCCTCTGGCTTTCACATGGATTCTGGGGGTCCAAATTTCTGTCCTCGTGCTTACACAGAAAATGGTTTTTCTGCGGAGCCCCATTTTAACTTTTGATTTAAATCTTTGTTGACAGCCACTGACATCAGCAGGTCTTTATACTCACAGTAGCTGTGTTTTCTGCACAAGACCTGTACAAGATTAATGCAGTCAAAATTCTGGCACAGAAGAGGAAGGTGCTATCTGGGCCCCATTGCTTATCAAAGGAGTTATTGACAGTTGACAGAAATGATTGTCCCTCCCCCAGCAACTCCTTCCTTCCAACCTTACATTACGTGTGGCCACTGGTGGACTCCCTGCGTTCCTACAGATGGCCCCACACCTACTGCCACCCGTATCTGTACACAAATGGGTAGACGTGAAGTTGGGAGGGGACGGGGATGGAATGATTGTGGTGAACTAGAGAGGAAATGGGGATGGATATGATAACATATGAAATTGTCAAGACCAAGAACTTGATCTATCATAGGCAATTGTGGGACTATATTTTACATACATCTCAAGATTCAGAGAACAGTGAGAAGCAATGAATATCACAATGCAGGTAGTCCCCTGGGTCCTATTTTTGTCACCAATAAGACACTACAAGTGGAAAGTTAGATGGCTTCATTCTGGGTCACAGCCAGAATGCAGTGTTTTACATACTTTACTCAATGTCTACTAGAAGGCATTGTACCTTTTCATCTGTGACATTCTGTCAGTATTTCATGTGAAAAGTCATTTAGAACATTGAATAAAATAGCCTATAGGTTGGCAACATGGCTAGGCAGGTAGAAGTACTTAACACTAAGCCTGATGACCCGAGTTACACCCCTGGGATGAGAGAACCAACTCCCAAAGTTTTCCTCTGACTTTTACAACACTGTGATGCTGTGATGCACATGCCCACTCATATACACAGTAAATAAATACATAAATGAGTAAATAAATAAGTATAGTAGGTATTAAAATAAGTCAAATTACTTTTGGAATATGTATGTAAGGTATGCATATATATGAAGCATAAAGGAATTCTGTGTACAGCCTTGAACTCTGTCCCTAAAATATCTCTTTATGCATATGCCAATCTAAAAGCAACAGTGAAGAAATCTCCCAACATCTTGCCTGATGTTCCAGGCAAAGGAAGCTCATCTGTTTTACTGAGTTTCTGCCATCCTAGCATCAGATTTCGATTCAAAGATGGAGAAGGCAAAGCCCTTACAGGTCACTTGCTTGAGGTCAAGGAAAAGCAGAGAAGGATTGAATCTGTGTCAACCCACTGAGCTGTGGAGTAATGTCATTTTGTTCATCATTTTGCTAAGACCAAAGAGTTTACAGAGACTAGCCCACTGAATGGACTCAGTAATAAACTGATGAATGTAAAACAAAATAAAAAACAAACCAACAACCATAGTACCAAAAGTGGCATGGGACATCTAGTGTTTTTATGTTTCAAGTTGACACTGTTCTTTGAGACAATCTCATGTAAACTGAGCAAGCCTTTAACTCACTGTGTAGTGTAGGATGACCTTGAACTTCTGATCCTACAGTCTCCAATTCCCTAGTGCTGGATTACATGCATGTGCCACCACACCAGGTTTTAAGTAGTGCTGGGGATCAGACCTCCAGGGCTTCATGCCTGCTTAGCAAGCACCCTACCAACTAACTGAGCCTCGTCTCCAGCCTCTATAATCTCTTTGAGACAATGTATCCTAATAAAAATTTGAATAGTATCAACTTTCTGATATGATCATGTGGTCTTAAAATCATGTACTGTTTTGAAACTGGCATTACTTTTTCCTGATTGTCCTTTGGCAACTGTAGTTTCTCTGTCCTTCATAAATAGTGGCTCCTCAGACTGAAGGGAGCAGCCATCAGAATCCTAATTAGGCTGAACTGTCCTTTATAGTTACATTGCCCCATGTTTGCAGTTTCTCTCAGTTTACCCTGGGAATCTTCAGACTCACACCCACCTTCCAACCCCGAACCTCAGTCTCTTTTTGGCTTATCTATTTTGCCGATGTTTCTCCCAGTGTGTGTTTTGTTATTTTATGTACTGTGAGGAGCCGCCCTCGCTATCGCCATTACAAGATGGCGCCGGCATCCGTTGTTGGTTGGAGTAACCACTGCTTAAGCTCTGCCTCTCCCGTGGCGTCATCTGGGGTGATGAGCAAACCACCAATCCCGGCTCTACACGTCTCACTCGGAGCTCCTAGGCTTATATAAGGGGCTGGGTTTCTTAGCTTGGGGTCTCCCCTCAGAAGCTGATCATCTGTCTCTCAAGATGCATTAAAGCTTTACTGCAGAAGGATCCGAGTGTCCTGTGTCATTCTTGCTGGCGAGACTGTGGCGCGGGACAATGTACGCAAAAGAAAATTATGCATTGGCTCCAGTTTGCATCTCTGTCCTGATTTTGCCAATTTGTGTCCTATTTTCAAATTTAACCTTTGTCAACTTTTCCCCCTTCTCAATATCATGTGAGCTTGAGAAATAATGAGCTTATTTTCCTCTTTAGCCTAAAAAACATACTGAAAAATTCAAAGTATATGTAATTATGTATGTTTTCTCAGTTAGGCTTGAAGCCACAGCTCTTGCAGTCATGATTTTTAAACTTTATGCATTCGAATACTAATGTGACATACATTTTTTTCTTTCTCCAGTTGGGTAAGGTATAGAAACACTATTTAGGATAACTTCCATTTGCTTTTATGACTTATCCCTTGTTAACAAAAAGAAAGAATATTCCATGCTGTTTAATTTATCTTATACTGAAACTACAATCATTTATTTTAATATTTGTGTATATATGGTATGTTCATGTGTGTATATATGTGTGTGTGTGAGAGAGAGACAGAGAGAGACAGAGAGAGACAGAGAGAGAGGAGAGAGAGAGAGAGAGAGAGAGAGAGAGAGAGAGAGAGAGAGAGAGAGAGAGAGAGAGAGAGAGAGAGAAAGAGAGACCGCAAATGTATACATGTATGTGGACATCACAGGACAATCTCATATTGGTCCTTGCTCCCTACCGTTTTTGAGATAGTCTTCCTATTGTTCACCACTGTGTACACAGTATAGCTGACCCATGAGCTTCTAATGCTTCTCCTGTTGTTGCCTCCATCTTGCTGCCAGTGGTTTATTCTCACATTATCATTCTTCGGTGTTGCAGTATACTCTGTTCACATCCAGATCTAGCCATATTCCTTTTCTGATGCATTCAGTTTTGAGCATGCTGTGAGCTTTGTGAGTGATTATCTGCTAAGAGGACCTGTTCTCAGTATTCTATTGCTTGGTGGTTTTTCTTTTTCTGCATACAGCAGAGGCTGGCTAACTTTCTGTAGAAGGGTAATGCCTCAATATGGGTGAGTGACACAAAATGCCACGAGTCCCAGAAATGTGTTGCTGTTCTTAAACCTAGTGGCGTCTGGACAAGGCCTTTTGGGTTTGGTGTGTGGGTCTCCTCTCACATTGACAGTTTATCCTCTCCTGGGTGTCAGGGACAAGCATGTTCCTGTCGCCTTCCTCCTCTGTAAAGGCATAAAGAATCAGCCCTCATGACCTCATGTTATAGCATCCAGATAATAGTCTAGAGCCTGAGTGCCTGAAGATCTCTTGTACAGTCCCTCAGTTCAGATTTGTAGTGGGAAGTAACCACTGTCAGTAAATGTATGCATTAGGACAACACAATAAACTACATTAATAAATCGAGGCATCTATGCGTCTGTAGCAATAAATAATGGAGAGAAAAAAGTCAGGATAGCATAGGAAACCTACTAGAAGTACTTTCCCATCACTGGCATCATATTTTATTGCTGCATTTTAGATGATGGTGACAGCAGAGGGCAGATTTGGTACCCTGATGTCAGCATTTCTACCTTGACTCTTGACTTCTTGAATTTCTGTTTTCTTTGACTCCCCCCCCCATTATTGTCAGGCTATTGGACAACAGCTAAATTAGCCCCAGATTTTGAGGTCCTATAGAAATGAAATAGATGTGGCATCCATTGCCCTTGTCTGTAGAGGACAAGGATCTGGGTCAGGCGTAGGTCCTGAGAACTTGAGAGAATGATGCCTGCATCCTCTTTTGTGAGCCTAACAAGCCTCTTTTCTAAGAAAGTGAACTCCACTTGACACATAAGGACTTCACTACAGAGTTTTAGAAGCTTCTTACCAATTCTGTGCAGTTCTTAGAGACTCTGAGAGCGAGCCAGTGCTCTGCAGGTTGTGTCTCCTGATGAGCAATATTGGGTATATAGTTTATTTCTTTATTAATAATTGTTGAAATTGCATGTGTTTGTGTTTGTATGTGTGCACATGGGTATGTGTGGTCAAACATGTCACCGTGTACTTGTGGAGGGCAGAGGACAACTTGAGACTTCTTCTGCCATGTGTAGCCTGGGGATCATAATCAGGCCAAATAGCTTGGCAGCAAGAACCTTTATCAACCTGAGCCATTTTGCTGGCCCAATGATGGGTCAATAGAAAAAAAGGAACATGGTTTACAGTTAGCTTTTCAAGTATACACTAATCATTCTGATAATGAAACCCATTTTGTCTTTGTTCTTTTATAAGCCTTAAGAAGAAAAGGCATGTACTTTTGTGGTGGTTATAATTTATATTTTTCATTTCTGTACTGTTCTGTTTATTTCTTTTAATTTTTAAATGAAATATTTTTTTTCTGGGGATCCAATTCAGGTTGTCAGGCTTGGCTGCAAGTGCCTTTACCCACCTGTCTCTCTTGCTGACTAGGGTTATGTTTCTGATGCCAGAAAGCTTCAGAATCTGCCCCAAGCTACTTTCCGTCCATGCTTGTTTCACATACTGCACCCTGGTGTGCCTGCTGCTCAAGCCTGACTGATGTTCTGCCCCCTCCTCTCTGAATATCTGGGGGATACATTTGCTGAGTCCCCCAAGCCTGCCACACTGCTCTATTGTACTCCCGAGGTACAGTCACCTTCCTCAGCTAAGCTCCACACCTCTCTCCACTGAGATCTGTTGCCTTTGGATGTCTGTCTGTTCTGACAAATGCCACCTGTTGCCTCGCACAGTGCCAAACACATTGAGCACAAAGTAATTACATGTGAAATAGAGCAAGTGAAGTTGAATGAACTAAAACAAAAAAAGGAACTAGTTCCCAAAGCCTCCTTTTCCCTTTTCCTTGTCTGGAGGTCCTTCACTGCATGTTAGTGGAAATCCCAGAAGCTCTGAATATCATCAAGGAAGGGCATATCAAATCCATCATCTCACTTTTAGACAAGCATGGAAGAAATCACAAGGTAAGTGAGCTGCTTGATTTCCATAGGTGAATTCTAAAACCATTACATAGTGAAGAGTGGGCTATATATTGCAAAAGGCTAGAAGAAAGGATTTTAAATGCTTTTTTCCATAATGAAATGATAGGAAATTTGAGCCATGGGCATGTGATTGCCTACTGAAAATATACACCTGTGAGAAAAATGGAATAAATGTCCAACAAGCTAAAAAGGAGTAAAACACTGAGAGATCAAAATATCTAACATGTTATAAAATGATTTAAAACAGACAACATGTGCATGCATCGAAGCATACCTGAAAGCCTAGATATCAGTATGGTTTCGTCTTCATGTATCAGTCAAAAATAAACTAATAAATTGAGATATATGCCAACATAAGATAATTTCAAGATGTTGAAGTTTTCGTGACTGTTTTCATCCTTAGTTACCATGGAGTAAGATTGTTTCTTATATAGTCATCGTAACTGAGAGAGTACAAACAGTTCTTGCTCTGTATGTGAAAGAAAGGTGTAGAGCCACTGGGACACACACTGTCATGTTAAAATGACCAAGCTGAGGCTGTGGGTGAGGCATGGTTAAGGGCTCGTGAGAGCATGAGACCCAGAGTTCAGATCCCCCTCATCCGCATGCATGCTGGGAAATTGAGACACTTCCTGTAATCCCAGTGCTTGAGAGGCAGAAATAGGAGACCCCCCCTTAGGCAAGCTGGTTCTAGAGTAGTCAAATTGGTAAGCTCTGGGTTCAAGTGAGAGTTCCTGCCTCAATATGTGTGGGGAGAATGATTCAGGAAGATGCCCAACATCAGCCTGTCTTTCACATGCACATACACACATGCATGTCCACACATATTTGAACATGCATGCACACCACACATACACATGTACATCATGGGGGAGGGAGACAGAGGGAGAGAAAGGGAGAAAGAGGAGAAATGATGGGATCAATCACAGCTGGGGTTGTGTTTGCCTTGTGGAAAGTGCTGTTGATGAATTCAGAGTCTGCTTAAAGTCTGACTCTCCCCAGGTCCTGGATGTGTTGTGTTCTCTCTGTGCTTGCCATGGGGTTGCTATCCGTTCTAACCAGCATCTCATCTGTGACAATCTCGTGCCAGGACGAGATCTCTTACTGCAGACCCGTCTTGTGAATCATGTCAGCAGGTAATTTCCCACAGACATTGTTGTCTCTTGACACCACAGCAAGTTGTCTCTCTAGGGAAGCCAGAAGGAGGTCTGTTTGTTTTACTAAGGGTTTGTGTATGTCCTTCTCCCCCTACTGAACACTTACTGTTGTCTACCAAGTAGAAAGGTTAGTAAAATAACAATAGATGAACTGAGCAAAGTAAGAACTTACTGCAAACATATTTGTAAGAGTTTCTGTTCACTTTTCATGTGTAGAGAAGTTGTCACTGGCATCTTCAGAAGCAGGCTGTAGCTGCATTAATTAATATACAGATTAAGCTGTAGGTAGTTTGTAAGAAGTCACACTGTTCTTATGTGCCCACTACTGGTGACAAAAATCATAGGGTGCTCCAAGCCTAACACATTTCAAACTAAATAGCTAATGAAATGACATTTTCTATTGGATCAGCCTTTTAAGGAATCTGACAGTGATGAGTGTCACCTACAAGCTACCTAGTGCTATGATTTGTCTATGGCCTGTGCTGTTTGTATTTTGTGAGGTTTCTTTTGGTACTGCTTTTCTCTTACTTTTGTAGATGATGAGGGTGGGACTGGGGTGATGCTTGGGTCTGTCTGCAGAAGCTGAGCTAGTGAATACTATACCATGTTGTCTTTTTAAAAAAATCCCTCTAGATTAAAAAGAAATCAGTACCAGAAAAGCATGTCAACACAATGCTCTGTGTGGTAGAGTAAATGGGCTTACATAAGCTTCTGTCACTGTATTCTTCTATAGACAGAAGTGGTGTGAGATCTGCAGCTTTTAAAAGATTTGTTTATTTTCAATTTGAGTTTGAGTGCATGGTATATACTACATACATGCCTGGAGGATAGAGGAGGACATCAGATCCTCTGGAGTTGGAGTTATAGGCAGTTGTGAGCCACCTTATGGGTTCTAGGAATTAAACCAGGGTCCTCTGCAAGAGCAACCAGTGCTCTTAATCTCTAAACCACCTCTCCAGGCTCCCTGAGTTGTGTTGTTTAAACAGGAGATAAGGCTGATGTTAATGAGTGGTACTTCTGCTATCTCCACTTCTCCAGGGATCACCAGATATGTAAGCCCACTCTTTTTTTTTTTTTTGGTTTTTCGAGACAGGGTTTCTCTGTATTGTTTTTGGAGGCTGTCGGTCCAGCCTGGCCTTGAATTCACAGAGATCTGCCTGCCTCTGCCTCCCGAGTGCTGGGATTAAAGGTGTGCGCCATCACTGCCCAGCATGTAAGCCCACTCTTAAAATGGACTTAAATGAAACTTGCCAAAGGGTTTTCTTTTCAAAGAAAGTAAGGAGTCAACAGACAGCAACAATCCTCATTAGTCATGTGCTACTGTTGTTCATATAATAGTCCATGTGACATGGCACTTACATGAGGAAGATTCACATGTCCTGGCTTAATAACAGCTCCATTTATTATGTGATCCTGTTGTATCAAGTATCTCATTTTATAAACTACATTTGATTAATGATATGAAAATTTCAAAAGATCAGTTAAAAAAAAAGTCCTATTAGACTCTGGATTGGCTTGGTCGAGTAAACCCAACATCAGGTGCTGCACAGTCAAGGTGAGTTGAGGATGCTGTCTTCCTGGGTTATCACCTCAGTGAACTGGGGGTGCTGTCTGCCTGGGTTATCACCTCAGTGAACTGGGGTGCTGTCTGCCTGGGTTATCACCTCAGTGAACTGGGGGTGCTGTCGGCCTGGGTAGCACCTCTCTGATGGGTTTTATAATTCTGTGATATTGTTAAAATGTAGGCTTGGCTGCTGAATCAGCTACTTTCCTTGTTGTCATGACAAAGTAGCTGGCAAAGGCTATGTGGGAAGGAAGCATTTACTCTGGCTTGTAGTTTGTGGGCACAGGAGGGACAAGGCATGGCAACAGGCACAGAAATGGAGGGGCACTTTGCATGGGCAGCCAGGAACAGAGAGATGGATGTTGTTGCTTAGCTTGCTTTTTCTCATCTCTATTTAGTCCAGAACCCTAGCGCATTGGAATGTTAATGCCCACCGCAGTGAGCTCAACCTAGAAACATGATCACAGATGTGCCCAGATGTTGGTCTCCTAAATGATTCTAGAGCCTGTCAAATTAATGCCGTGTACATTGTAGAGAATAATCAGGAACAGTATTTAGAATAATGATTAAAGAAGCCATTGGAAGTTTTCTCTGTCTTTTTCTGTCTAAAAGCATGAAGCCTAATATTTTCCTGGGTGTCAGTGAAGGGTCTGCGTAGTATAAGAAGTGGTACTACGAACTCATGGTGGACCATACTGAACCTTTTGTGACAGCAGAAGCTACTCACTTAGAGTGGGCTGGGCTTCCACCGAAGGACATTCACCCCTGCCCGGGTATGGGGAAGAGTGGGGTGGCAATGGCGTTGGTGATGACCTCTTCTCCTGTGGGTTTGATGGCCTTCTCCTCTGGTCAGGTAGGCACTGTCCCTTTTCCTTAAACAATTTCCACGTGGAAATCTTGTACCCTGTCTTTCTTTTCTGCAATCTGAAAACATCTGTTGTTCAGACCGTCACCACTCAGACAGTGACTACAAAAGTTTAACAAAAAGCATATTTTTCATGACAGAAAAAGAAAACAATTGAGTACATTTCCAAAGGGCTGTGAAACTTACAAACATTAAGTTTGTAATTAAAATAACATTCTAATGCATGAACAGACTGCAAGAATCTCAGGTGTTTTTGAATCTCTTTAATTGGTTTGTGAAAAGATATAATGTTCCTCATAAAAACCATACAATCCAATGACTAGTTTAGATCCTGGTGAGATAGTGTAAAAACCAGTCAAACAGAAGTTCCACGGGACTAGTCCAATCATGTCATGGCTTGACAGGTGTGGAAAATTAATATTGCACATATATACGCTCAAGATACCAGCTGCTAATTCTCAGTACTGATCTGAATACTTATTACAAATGCTGAATTCTTAAAAATTGTATTTCTTTCTCCAGATCACAAGTAAGTATTCTGTGGTTTACTTCAGAGTTCAGTTCTCCTATAATAATAGTGTTATTTTGTATAATATTATAGTTTTCAGGTGCTGGTAATCACTTGGATGTTGCAGGCATGTGTAGTTCATGAAGCTGCATTTATATGACAGTTCTTGGGTGACCATGGCATGTCTTACACTTAGTGTGTGGAAGACACAGAAAGTTATCTTAAGTCATAAAAGCTGGATTTTGTTCCTTGGTTGTGAGTGATGTTCATTTATTAGTTTAGAGGCTTAATTCTGGGGAAAAAGGCTTAAAAATTGAAGTGAATTAAGTCCAAGAGTTGATGGTAATGAGATTAATGAACTCAAAACACCTGCAGAGTTACATCTACACAATAATATTTATTAGACCTCTTTCATCCAGTACCAGTAGTTCACATGTCATGAGGGAGCTAAGTTTTAGATAGCTCATCTAGCTCTTGAAGTTTGTGGCCAGAGGCTTCAAAATAGCGTATATTGCCTCCCTCCAAGTGCATGAGCAAGTCAGATCAGAGCCATAATGCCTTTCTTGTTCCCATGTTAATTTTCTGTGGTCCCAAGGACAGGAAAAGTACGCTTAGCCAAATGTTGGACTAAGTTCTGTCTTATGGCATATTTGATCTATAATGCCCTGAATTCCATTACCCTCACTTCTGAGAGTTGATTCATGGGAAATGGGTCCTCCATTGGATGAACGAGCCATGTTAGAGTGTTTCCCTTGTAGGCACTGGTTGGGGGAAAGTTTTCCTCAGATAACAAAGCCTAGAGTTGTTTTATTGGGCACTTCACTTGATCTTACGTTACCTTGCAACTTTTCCTTTTGACACATTAGAAGAGTTAATGCTGCTACAACTAAAACCTATGCTTTGTGCCTTTATGAGAAAGTGCTAAAGAGAAAAGTAAGGGCAGATATAAGTGTGTATGGATGTGCTATAGGAAAGATGGCAGGTCACAGAATTCCTGGAGAAAAGTATTCTGAAACTGTTGTCAAGAGAACTTACTTTTCAACTTTAAAGTATTTTTCTTAGTGTCAGGTAGGTGTGTGTGTGTGCGTGTGTGTGCGTGTGCGTGTGCGCGTGTGTGTGTGTGTGTGTGTGTGTGTGTGTGTGTGTGTGAGTGTTGGGGGGGGAGAAGTCAGAGGACCGCCTCTGGTATCAGTATGTGCCTTCTACCCAATTTAAGACAAGATTTCATTACCGCAGTGGAATGACAGACATGCCTGCTACTGTTTGTCTTTTATATGGGTTCTGGGGTCTGAACCTTTGTCCTCATGAATGTGCCATAAGCTCGGCTCGGCCATCCGGGCCCCGCTCCCAGATCTCTACCCGTTTGGGACCATGCGCTGAGGCGGCTTTGGGGACCAGGATCGGGACTCGGGACGGAGACTGTGGACGGTTTGGAGCAAGAGGTGGTAGTGGCCTTCCCCCCAAAACGTTTGGTGATCCCGGGGAGCGGTTACTAAAAAAGAAGTGGGATTTGAGTGAACTCCCCAAGTTTGAGAAGAGTTTTTATGTGGAACATCCAGAAGTAGCAAGATTGGCTCCGTATGAGGTTGATGAGCTGCAGCGATAGAAAGAGATTGCAGTGAGGAGAGATGTTTGTCCAAAACCTGTCTTTGCCTTCCATCATGCTAATTTCTCACAGTATGTAATGTAATGGATGTACTGATGGATCAGCATTTTACAGAGCCAACCAATTGGTTTTCATTCATATGATCACTTGTGTTGTATATATGTATACATGCATATATATATCACGTATATATTCATATAACATTTAGCAGGAAAACTTTCTGAGAAATGCAGTTCCATAGCATCTTTGTGATACAAGCATCATAAAATGTACCTCCCCAAAACAAGACATCTGTGGCCTCTCTAGAGGCTGTGCTCTTTGAGAACTGTGATCGTATAGGAGCTCCATCACTAGTTGACACTGTTAGGTAGCTCACATGCAGGTTAAACATTGCTATTTTTATATGTGTTTCTAAAAACCCACTTCCTACTGATACTGCTACTGGTGACATCAGCAGTTTTGCAAATGCTTTCCCAGCTTCAGAGAAGGTGTTGGCTCTGAGGGTTACCTGCATGTCCCTGTTACAGATGTAAGGTAGTGAGCTCTTCTCCAGTCCCCTGACATTCCAGATCAGCACCATGAAGCTTCATATCTCTGATTCACAGAGGAGACTTTGCTCCTATGTATCACTTAAAATCTTTTTTTTATTTAACCATTGATAATACCAAATGTAGAAGAAGAATGTGGAGCAACTGGATACCCCCACTAAGGAGATGTTGAATGAATGTTCCACAGTCTGAAAATCCTATCAGTCTAACCATTCACTCTTTACAATGAACTGTACACATAGCCTTCACATCTTTAGAGATTTGTTCAATAGAAAGGAATCCATCACAGTCCACAGCTAAAACACCTATCACTGTACAGATTGGTAAGTGAAGGTATGGACTATGCACTCATGTAGAGTACATGGCACATAATTCCATGTGTGAATATTATTGAAAACAAGCTTATTTGTACTAAAAGAAAGTAGTTCATTGGGGGCTAGATGTGTAGGGAGGGAGGGGCTGCAAGGGTATCCTGGAAGGAAGATGGGACGTTGTAGGGGTTTTTCAGAATTGTTCTCCTTTCAAACCACATTGTATTTGTACTATAAGTTGATCATCCTCTTGATCATTGTTTGCCTCAATGCTACAAACATAATAGTTTTAGCTATACCATTTGTTTCTATGCTGGATAAAACTCTGTTTGTCAAATTATTCTTGCAAAGCTTTGTCACAATTGGCTATGGCTTTATGCCCCAATCCCTCATGAAATGTTAAGCACTGTTAGTATGCCTATGAAATGAAATATCTTAAAGATAAACCAGGCAGGCATTTTTCATGTGCTAATTTCAGCAGCACTGAAAAGTACTGCTGATTGGCAGACTGAGTATCTCTTGTCCATGATGCTTGAAATCCATTGTGACTCAGGTGTTAGCATTTTCTGGATTACAAAAAATTAGTGCGAACACATAATGAAGTATTTGATTGTTTCGAGTGCACCTGCCTTTTGAATGTGACCTGTCATCTGAAGTCATATGTCGACATTTTTGTTTGTGATTCCATGTCAGCACTAAAAAATGTTTTAGATGTCACAGCTTTGGGGATTTTAGATTTTTGGTTTGCAGATAGTCAGTATATATATCAAGTTTTTACAGACTCTGGCACTGACTCAAGGAGTATAAATAACGTGCTCTAAAATGATGCATTCAGTGAGTAAGACATGTCTAATCAGAGCTGAGATCTGCCTCTGTGTTAGTGTTCCCTCACTTAAGCACCTCTTCATGCCTACTCCATCACTGAATGGATGAATGACTCAGTTCTCTCCAAGATACCTTTGCATCTCAGACAGGAGTTCCTGCATTCAGATGGTTTCAGTCTCCCTCTCTACCAGCTGAGTTATGGGGGATCCACTCAGGCGGTTTTTAATTGGGTCAGAGGATATTAGACGTTCAGAGATGTGTCAGATATTATGGCTTTTGTATGCAAAGTTCTTGGGTTATGTGATATGGAATTCAAGGACATTACTTTCTTATAGAATTGATTCATAATGGCTATTCTTTGTTATATTTTAGTGTGTCTTATTATTAAAGTTTAACTAGAGAGAATTTGTGTCAGTTATCATGATGTTAAAAAGAATTGCAAAAAGGATACATTTGTTAGGGCTAGAGAAATGGCCCAGTGTGGGGGGTAAATGGGAGGTGGAGGAAACAGAAGAGAAGAGGGAGGGGGAAACTGTGGTCCATATGTAAAATAAATAAAACATTAATTTAAAAAAGTGATTGCTTCTCTTTCAGAGGATTCAAATTCTGTTCCCAGCACCCACATCAAGTAGATGACAGCTGCCTATAACTCCAACTCTAGGAAACCCAATGGTCTCTTCTGGCATCCCTGAGTATCTGCACTCACACATACACATGCATACACGCAAATAAATGAAATTCGTGTCTTTTAAACCACTTCTGGATAATCTCACTCACCAGACTTAATATAGGCTCAGGTTACTTCCAAGTGAGAGATAACCCCTTGCTTATCATTTATTTGCAGGTAGTTTGATATCTGGCTGGCTGTGTGCTGCAGAGCTGTCAGATGCTGGTGTCTAAGGGTTACCCAGACATTGGGTGGAATCCAGTTGAAGGAGAGAGATACCTCGACTTTCTCAGATTTGCTGTCTTCTGTAAAGGTAGGACATGAGTACTCAAAGACTGGAAAAACTGTGAAAATAAGGGTTCTGGGGCTGGAGAGATGACTCAGTGATTTATATCACTTATCTGACCCTGTAAAGGACCCAATTTTAGTTTCCATCACCCATTTAGAACAGCTCACAACTGCCTGAAACTCCAGCTCCAAGAGAACTGACATCACCTTGTGGGACATCTGTTCTCTCATGCATACAGTGTGTGTGTGTGTGTGTGTGTGTGTGTGTGTGTGTGTGTGTGCATAATTGAAAATAAAATTAACATTTTTCAAAATGAAAAATAAGGGTACATTATAGCTTTTTCATAAAGGAAGTGAATATAAGAAATTGTATATTTTATTTAATAGTTTTCTTTCCACAGCAATAACTCATACTACATTTTTACATGGATTAACTTGAAATCTGTATGTACCTTCTAGATTTTTTGCAATTGTCTCTTAAGGGTTGAGATTGCAATTTCTTCTTCCATAACAAATAGTTTGTAATATTTGGCTTTACTTGGAAACTATTATCAAAGAAAGTAATATATATATATATATATATATATATCCCTTTTTCGCTGATATGACAGAATAGTAGGTAGAGGCACCTTGAGGGAGAAACGTACTCAGTCCATCCCTGCAGGAAAGATGACTGCACGGCCTCGTCTGTGGTTGACAGGAGCTAGCATTGCAACTTCATATATGGCACCAACCAGGAAATAAATAGTGAGAGCTAGGAGGTAGCCGAATGCAGGTATCTGAACGCAGAATTTCCTTCAAGGCCCTCTCTGACAGCCTATGATAGCTAGTTAGGTCCCAGGTCCCAGTCATCCTCCACAGACTCCCAAGACAGAAGTGTCTGTTGGGGACAAGTATCCAGACACAGAAGTCTCTGAGGCTCATTCAACATGCAGACCACAACAGTATACATAAAAGTTGTGATGTGTGTTGAGTGTTGAATTTATGGGCCAGTGAGATGACTCAGTGGATAAAGGTACTTGCTGCCAAGGCTGACCCCTTGACTTCTATCCCTGGAACCCACAGGGTAGAAGGAAAAAATAGTTTCTGCAGGCTGATCTCTGACTTCCATGTGGTGTGTGAGCTGACCCCCCTCCCCCACCCCCATAAATACATACAATTTAAAAGCCGAATTTACTATTATAGTTTACTTCTAAGGTATACATGTTTCTTTAAATGAGAAATGCTTATGATATATGGTCCCTGAAAGTCTTGTATTTTGTTTATGTTACTCTTTTGACTGCAGGAGAGAGTGTAGAAAAGAATGCAATATTGTGGTGAGGTTGCTCATCCGGAGGCCCGAGTGCTTTGGTCCTGCCTTGAGAGGGGAAGATGGCAATGGTCTCCTTGAAGCCATGGAAGAAGCCATAAAAATAGCTGAGGATCCTTCTAGAGATGGCCCTTCCCCAGCAAGTGAATCCAGCAAAACCCTGTAGGTCTACTGTGCACACCTCAGAAAATGATGTCACCCCACCAAAGCTGACAACATGCATTGAAGGTAATCCTTTGCCCATGCCGCCATATTGCAGATGAGTAATGGGGACAGCTCTCCCATGCTCACAGTTACAGGACTGAGTTGCCAACAGAATTGGCTTCAGTGCTGCCCAGGTGAGGTACAGGACCTGCCCTCTAGAGTGTTTCAGCTGGTGGGGGCAGTCGCTGCTCTCCCACCCTTATGACTTCAGGGCCAGCTACCCTTGCTGTCAGATAAGAAAAGGGGGCAGTTCTCACCCACACCTCTGCCAACAGGATCAGCTCTATTGTGCTGACCAGGAGAGGGGCACAGTCTTGGGTCCTGAGTATTGCAGCTGGTGGGAGACAGGGACTGCTCCTCTCCTGTCCTTATGCCCTTGATGGGTGGGGGAGGGGTGAGTTCTCTCTTCTGCCTCACTTTTTTTGGTGCTTGAATATCACTGTAAACTCTGCTAAAATCATGGACAATATCAATGTCATAGCCTTAAGAGTAATGATGTCTAGAATATTTCCACCACTAAATAAACTAACCCTCTATTTTTAATCCCACATCAATGACTATTTCATGGCATGGATCCAT